AATATATTTAGTATTGCATCTCATACACCATCTTGCTGCCATATGCAATTATTAGTCTCTACTTTTTGGCACATTTTTGTGTATATTGCAGTTTATTCAAAGAAGTGAGCTTCCTTCCTTTCCTCTCCTGTCAAGACATATACCTTGTCTTTCTGTTCTCTTTCAGAGACAAAAACAGTTATCATTAAGTGTGATCCAATCTCACATACCAAAAATGTCCATCTAAATTGAAACAGGAATGCACTCTGTTGACATCTTGATTTTAGATTTCTGACCTCTAGAACTGTGAAAGAATAATTTTGTATTGTTTTAAGTCATTGTTTAGTCTAACTTATTCCAAATCAGCTTCCCCATGACTCAAACTTGACCTTTGTATCAAGTAACTGTGATGACAAAGGGATCTTTGTTGTTTCCCAACTTCCTTATTCTATCTACACCACAGTGTGCCCCATGGTCAAAGTAGTAGACAGAAGAGATTAGGCAACTATGGATATTGTATATAATCACAATAGCAGATGCCCAAATGCTGTCTCTCTCATGGGACACATTTGGGTGCTCCCTAGTCATTGTCCTCGAGGACCTCCAGCCTGCAAATTTCCTGTACATGAATTATGCATCTCCAGTTGACCTGTTGCCCTCTTTGGTGTATCTCTTACTATCTCATGCTCGGGGCTCCTTTTACCATATTTCACTCTTGTGTAAGAGCTCAATAAGATAGGGTTATCTCTTCTTGACAGCCACTTTGACCATGGAATATTTGCACACTCATAACCCACCAAATGGTGGAATACCATTTGTTAGGATCTTGTCTTCTCTGAATAGCTTGCCTTTGCAAGTTGGTCCAGTCAGCTTCATGGCTTAAGAATTCTCCAAGCTAGAAACAGGTAGGAAGCATCAGTTTTTTGTTCATCTACATCTCTGCTGTATGGGACTTAATAAAGTGTAAAGGCTTTCTTAACAGAATCCATTCTGGTAAGAATATTAAGTGAACTTAAAAGTTCCTACAGCTAAACAAATATCCAGTCAGGAAATGAGACTCCAGTCCTCCTACATCCTGGCATCTCCAGCTTTAAAGATTTATTCTCTTGGAGATTCATCAATTGCCTTGAGGTGACTGCCAGCAACTGATTGTTCCTTTGCATGAGAGGGAAGAGAAAATACTATGGTACTGTACTCCTAATTAATTCAAGGACACACTATTTTAAGTTCTCTTCTCCCTCCCCACCCTCTTATAACTCTTTTAAGTCTCTTAAATAAGATAGAAATTGATGGATAGATAAGAGAGGCTTTGCTTTTAATAATTTGGTAATGGAAAAAAAATAATTCGGTAATGGATGTATTTAGTATCTCTATTTAAAATAGGAGCGTACTTACTATCTACAATTCTCAGGTTTATGATCTCAACTGAAATCATAACGCAACAGAAGAAGATCCAGTTCACTTTCTATGCCACCTATTTTACCACTGCAGAATCTCTGCCACAAGATCAAAATTACAATTTTTTGAAATTTCTGGTAATTGCACTAAGCCCTTAGATGATCAATTGAAAAGTCAAGGGAACATTATAGGAAAGTGGAGGAGAATGCTATCTACTTCAGTTGCATGATCAACTGAAAGCCAAAAATATCTGTAAATAAGACTCTCCTGATAACTTCTTTGGCTGCTTTTCTCTTTTATCATAACCAAATAAACACACATTCCCTCTGCCAGCACCATCACTTGGTTCCCGAATTTTGAGAGCCCCATTGTCCCACTGTTCAGGTGAATTCATTTTGATGGCATCATTACCATTGTCACTCTTGGCCTACAGAGTATAGACACCATAAAGCCCTTCTATGATAGTGGTGAGGTGCCCTTCATG